TTATATACACGTTATTCGATTTACAGATAACTTAGAATGAAATTATGAGACAGATAATATCTTATGAGACACATGTAAAGGCCTAATGAGACAGGTATTGCATAATGATACCCAGCTAAGTGGTTCAGACAATCGTAACTCTGGTAATACTGTACAGCAATTCTTTAAAGTCGGCAAAATATGGCCTTTCATTGGTACTCTTACTCTTTCGCTCTCTCGACTCTATTGCGCACGTGCACATAAATAAATACCGATTTTGAGTGGGTGTAAAGACGAGAGAGATGTATTCATGTAAAAGAAAATTTATAGAAACGTGAGTTATGATAGAAGGTGGGCTGTCCGCCTTGCTGGGATGGAGTGTGGTAGTTATTGCTATGCTTACCCTCTCTTTTGTTGGTGGGATCATGGCACTACATAACCCTTCATATAGTCTATGGTTGCTGCATAAATGCAGATATACCTATGTTAATAACAAAATGCTGGTAGCTGGTGAGTGTAATCTCCTGTCAAGCAGGTGATGGGCTCAGTCAGACGAGTGGCCCAAGTGTGTTGCCTCATAACAGGAAACTGTGCTACTATAATAATAATGTTTATTTAGGGAAAAGTACAAATTGTACATACAAAATGATATATAAGAAGAATTTTGGATTTCTAAGTACAGCCAGTATATACGATGCCTAAAGCCACTAAAATAAATGAATAAATGTTTATTTGGGTAAAAGTATATACATACAAGACGAGTTACAAATGGAATGTTGGATTTCTAGATAGTACATACTATGCCTAAAGCCACTAATATGCACAGTGTTTCGGGCAAGTTGTGAGAAAAACACAGACTAAAACTTAAAACTAATTGAAATCAAAGCATAAATTGATTTGAAAAGGAAAAAAAGAATGATAATAATTATATTATGGATGGAACAACAGAAATTGAACCAGAACAACAGAAGTAATTGTAATTAGATAAACAGAAGACTACAATTTTTTTCAAGTTTATACAAGGTTAAACAAGTTGGTCAATAATCAATATTGTTAGAAAATATCAAGGCATAGGTTGACATTTAGGAGGTAAGGTAGGTTACATGGAGTATATTATGTAGTACAGTACTTAGTTTGTCTCTTAAACTGGTTGAGAGAGAGGTACAACCTTTGACATGATTGGGAAGGTCATTCCACATTCTCGGTCCCTTGATTTGCAGAGCAATTCTAGTTTGGTTAAGTCGCACTCTTGGAATATCAAAATTGTTTCTAGTGTGATGTCCATGGATTCTGTTACAACCTTCTAGGAAGCGTATACGGTCAGGATTGCCATTACAGTTCAGAATTTTAAATATATATAGAGCATATTCAAAGATTTAAGTAAGGGTACCGAGTGCTGTCTGGGGCCAGAGTTTGTTATTGTTCTAATAGCAGATTTGTATTGAGTAATTAGAGGATGTAGATGATTTTGGGTAGTAGAACCCCAAGAACAGATACCATAACTGAGATAAGGATGGATAAGAGAGTAACAGAGCATTACCAGGGCAGAGTGAGGTACAGAGTTTGATTTGTGAAAGAATGCCAACTGTTTTAGATTTGTTTTGCTATATTTTGAATGTGGCCCTGGAGATTCTTCTTAACATCAATGAGAACATCAAGGAATTTACCATCTAATTAGTTCCTAATTTGGATATTATTAATTCTAATTAACTAATTAGTTAATAATTAATACACACATTGTTTCGGGCATGACTCCAGTACAGTACTTCTATAAATGTAAAACAGACTTATCCCCAAAATCCCCATATTAAACTGGAAATTTCCCTGCTCGAGATACCAGTCAAAATATTAGATAAAATAATAACCCACAGACTGCATACACAGAAGAGAATCAGATTATGAACTCAGAAACAACAGAAGGCCCCATACAGCCATTGTTCTGATCTATGATGCCCATCGCCAATGCCATGACGAAAGAGAGCAACACAGCCATGCATTAACTGGTGTCTGTGGGTGGTGGAGGGGACATTGTGTTGGTGGGTAGGGAGATGGTGTGGGTGGGAGGTGTGGGAGGGAAGGTGGTGCTGGCTCGTTAACAGTGGACGGGGGTGTTAGGAAGGGGTTGAGGGGGGGTGGGAGGGGGATAAGAGATATGTTGATGCGGGGATGGGAGAGATGAAGGGGTGGGGGGGGTGAAGGTGCCACATTCCCTCCCTCCACACCTTCTCTTAATACCAGCTCTGCTCCTTTCTACGCCCGCTTCTAACCCCCGATGCGTCAGATATGCAGAGATCAGGGGTTACGCAGATCCCTCTACTATCTACTACCAATAAGGTTGCCAAAATAGTTACACTTGCGCTCCATCAACAGAATTTGGCGCAAAGGCGAGATGTCACACCGGGCCAGCCACTCCCGCAGAAATTTATCGTTGGTGTTGGGACCGTTTTCGAAACTAAGCGTTCTCTTTAGCCATTTTGACTTGGATCCACCTTAGAAACCAATACCATTCAATATAAACAAAATCGCTCTTTATTAACATAAATTATATACTTCATGAAAGGTACATAAATTATGTTCTAGTAAAAGTTCTTATAAAAGTGGTTGGCTTGATACTGTATGAAGATGGCAGAGAGCGCTCAGGAGGCAATCTGAACGTGCCATAATTCAGAATGTAGCGTTCATCACCAAGCCAGAGAGTCGTTGTGACCCCGTCAGCAGGCTCCGTGTCCTGCTGACGAGGCTCGGGCTGACGGAGGCAGTTGTGGCCGTCAGCGCGGGTCAGGTGAGGACAACATCAAGCAAGGGAGAGAGGCGTGTCCTTACCTTGTTTGCGGCGAGGATTTGGTTGCTTGCGTCGCGCTGAGCTACTGCTGCCAGGCCTGGAGGGATTATCGGCCATCTCACTGCCTGCCGCAAGGACGGGAATCCTGCTGGGGACCTCTTAGGCGTTTACGGCATTAATAAGATTCCTTCTTTCGCTATGAGACCTCTTCAACTGGCAGTGCCTAGTGCCTTCATCACTGGCACTCAACCCCCACAACACCTCACACACGCTCCGACACACCTCAACTCTCCCTTAGTCTTCACTTCCCGCTGTACACATCTCACGTACTTTCCACCAATCACTTCCAATCACCGTAAACACTAGTTTCTTTGAAATATTTGAACCTGCGCGTTGTTTTTTTTCCTTGAAGGTGTGACGAGAGATTACAGACAATAAATACACCGGAGCGCGATGATTGGCCGGCGCACTCTGATCCCTGATTGGCTGACGAGCACACCTTCACAGGTTGGCCCCTCCCACCTGCCACTCGCTCCTCACCTTTCCTTCACCTAATTACCGCCGCCGTTTGACGCCACACACTCAATAGCGGCGGGTAACGCGGGAAACGACACCATAAAAGCACCAATAAGAAAAGCCAGGAACGGACGGCATGCTGGTGGTGGAGGTGACGTTGGTTCACTGTGTGTTGATGGGCCTAGTGTGGGCGGCGGGCCACAGATGGCAGGAGTGTGCCGGGCGGGGGGCAGGGGCGCTCCTCACCTGGTCCGCCACACTCACACCAATATCCCCACTGATTTCCGCCGATTGCTACAACATATTACGAGATAAACTTGCTCAGATGTCGCGTGAAGTAGTAGAGAAGCAGGACCCGTAATGTGACATCCATCTCGTGAAACATTATCGTTGCAAAAAAGGAGATATAAAGGCAGAAATTTAGCGTTGACTGAGTCGGGGTTTGTGGGAGGTCGGGAGCCAGACCTGGTGGAGTCGGGACAAACTGGCCGCTTTTATTAAAAAGAGGGGAAAGCTACTCTCACTTTAAATTCGCTCTACTGTATGGTCCAGAAACTTGTATTACACGGTGTCACTATACTGATTCCCGGAGCCATTTTGAAGGCTTAAGGGGAAAATAATTTGCATGTTACTAAAATAATATAAATATTTTAAATGATTATATATTAGCTCAATAGTTTATTTGTCATGTAGATAATACTATATCTTTAACGAGGAAGCTATGTTAAAATATATATTATAGTTTGATGTAAAGTTTAGCCTAATATTCACTAGAGACCTATTTATAATTGATTGCTCTACGATTCACGTTAGTTTACTGCATGTGCAGAGCAAAGGTGCAATTTTTGTAAGCTACGAACATAATCCAGTATTATTTTATACCACACAGGTATGTGGGCGAGTCTGATATAGTTGGTGGTCCTTATAGAGAGGTCTGGCAGAACTCATGACGGCTCCCTCCCACATTCCCCGCTACCAAACGTATGATTGTCGACATAAACGCAAACGAGGGAGAAGTAGCGATAAAAACAGATCAGCTGAAATAATTGAGGGTAGCTCAGGGTGGTAATCGATGAAAAAACAAAAAAAAAAGATTCAATAAAAATAAGAAATTTCAAACAAAACAGAAGTGTAGGAACACAGGCGGGTTAGCCGAGGGCGTGAGAGGAGTGGCCCTCACTCACCTGCTCTCCTGGGTAAACATGCAAATTTCGGCCTCACTAGAGCCAAACAGCCTTGTCCTGAAAACAAGAACACACGAGTATTAGAATTAGCATTTAAGTCCGGTGAACAGACAAGAGAATAGACTTGATATATTGAGTCAGTTAAAATAAACGCCCCGTATCTTAGCGAGCAACAACTAGCAGCCCAATATATTTGCTGTTAGTATTCACAGCCGAAAAACATTAATTAAAACACATGGTTGAAACGATTTAGTGACTCGAATATCGAGAATGAAAAGGGTTATTTAAGTAACTATGCAAAACAGGCTCAAAATAGTGTTTTTCATCCTGAAGTACAACAGACCAATTCAATAACGTCCTGTCGAAGCTGTTAAACTTGGACGGTATTACAGTCCGGACAGATCGGGGCGTTCCTGTCTCGCCAGTCGCTAGAGACGGTGTTCTATTATGAGACGGTTAAGAGGCAAGTACAAGAAAATAAAAATAGTTGAAAAGTACACACCACAAGTTGACACCAGGAGAGTGGGAAGACCTGGTACTTAATGGAGTGGGCGGAGGAGCTGGCCCGTGGAAGTGGGCGGAGGAGCTGCTCCGTGGGAGTGGGCGGAGGAGCTGCTCCGTGGGAGTGGGCGGAGGAGCTGCTCCGTGGGAGTGGGCGGAGGAGCTGCTCCGTGGGAGTGGGCGGAGGAGCTGCTCCGTGGGAGTGGGCGGAGGAGCTGCTCCGTGGGAGTGGGCGGAGGAGCTGCTCCGTGGGAGTGGGCGGAGGAGCTGCTCCGTGGGAGTGGGCGGAGGAGCTGCTCCGTGGGAGTGGGCGGAGGAGCTGGAACAATTGAAATGGGTGGAGGAGCTGTCACTATGGAAGTTAGTGGAGGAGCTGGCACCATGGAAATGGGTGGAGGAGCTGACACTATGGGAGAAAGTGGAAGAGCTGTCACTACGGAAGTGGGTGGAGGAGCAATCACTAAGGGAGAGGGTGGAGGAGCTGTCACTAAGAGAGAGAAACACCCAATATTTCAGACCTGACAGCATGAAAGTGGTATGGGGGTATGAAAGTCTCCTACACGACTGTGTAGGCGCTGTCTGAAAGTTGGCCCGCTAGTCGTAAGTGTCTGGCCTCCAACCTCGGACAGAAAAGAGACATTGCCTCTAATAGTTACAGATTACTAAAGGGGGAGCCGGTTGTGCCCTGGTCTCTCTCCCTCCTTCTCCTGGCCGCCCTCTCTCATATCTCTTTACCTATCTCCCATCTCTTTATTCTCTCTATTCAGGAACTATCTACGGGCTCACCATAGTCCGTGTTGCTTGGAACTTTTTGTTCCAGGTAGCGAATCTTTAACAACTCTCTATTCTCCCTCTGACCTTTCCTCATTCCCCCTCTCCACCATTTCTCCCACTTTTCCAATCCTTTCCACCTTTCTGCCCAATATCCCCTTTCTCTTCCCCCTCGTTACCTTTCTTCCCGTCTCTCCCGCTTCTCCTTCCCTCTCCTCAAACATCCCCCCTCTCAAGCCTTCTCCTTCCCTCTCCTTTCTCCCTCCCTCAGAAAAATTATATAATGAAGAACTGAAATTTTCAAATAAGTTTACAGACAATGCAACCAATATTCAGACTTGCCTTGATGAAAATCGCACTGGGATGAGGGGGTGGGGGTCAGATCCAATATTCCATAAAATGTGACACTGGAGTCTACCCCCACAGCTGATCTACGATACCCTCATACCCCAAATGCTTCATGTGTGCAAGTTGGGTGACGCTAGCCCCAGGCCTCCAACCTTGGACAAAGATAAAATATCTCGCAGATATATAGATATATCGATGCGAACAAGCCTGAATGGTCCCCAGGACTTTATGCAACTGAAAACTCACACCCCAGAAGTGACTCGAACCCATACTGCCAGGGGCACTCTGCTGGCGTACAGGATCCCTTAACCGCTCGATCAACACGACCGGACCGTTTTTTTCCGGTCTGGTCAAAAACACTATTTGTCAAAAATAGATACTGTTTTTAAAAGAATCCACCCCCCCCCCCCCCGCACTTTGCACCCGGAAGATAACTTAAATGTTAGGGGCTGATTAATTCATTCTTCTTGTTTTATAACTTGTTTACTTGAGACAGTTAAGCAAGTCCCATCTGGTCTGGGTACAAACGACAGGATGAACAACCTAACGGGTTTTCTGTCTATTAGGGGGTGGCACACGCGGGACGCTGCCTAATAAACTCGCCGTTCGGTGCAAAATTTAAACTTAAACAAAACTGTCACCACTCGCTACCCATTCAGTTCTGTTTTAAACCTAGCCTCCAAGTGTGTTTTTGCATATTGCTGCTTTGAATAAAATGTGCACATTCTGAGTGCTTCACCCAAAAATAAGTCGAAAATTCCTTATTAGTAACCGCTGGTCCTTTTGAATTTGGCGCCAATTCTCCCCCCCCCCCCCTTCGATTAGCATTGCCCTCAACCTGTCCTCCCACTCCACCAACTTTCTGCCTTTCCATTGGCCTGTAGACCTCCCCCTGGCCTCTTGACCTCCCCCTGCTTTCTGTTCCCCTCCTGCGGGCCTGTTGACCCCCCCCCCCCCACACACACAAACGGTGCAGGGAGCCCGTGCCGTTATAAACAGGGAGCTGCCACGACACAAGCCTCATCCATCTGTCGGCCGCCCCGTCTTCCCCTGGCGGTAATAATTGCTTTGTTCAGACCTCTTATTGTCGATACGCTGTTAAATATTACATCGTTATCTTCTGTGCTTTATTGTTAAACAAATATTAATTGCTCCCATGGCTGTATGTTTACTCAGAGCATGAACGACGCCTTCCCATAAAGAAGCCATTTTGGGTAATAAACTCGCCCTTCTGGAGGAAAAATAAAAAATAAATAAATCAGAGTCATCTCATATTTGTTAGATTTTTGTATTAATGTGTTCATGTGCTTATATTCTTAAATATATATAATTGTACTATGTATTTATTTAATGGTTGAAAATAAACAATGAACTTGCAATCTACATCGATAAGAAGGGAACCATCTCCAACCTTGCACAATGTGTGTTTGTGCAAGGTTGGAGACTAGACTACCGTCCAGCCCCCTCCCCCTGGGCTGGACGGTAGAGCGACGGTCTTGCTTCATGCAGGTCGGCGTTCAACCCCCGATCGTCCAAGTGGTTGGGCACCATTCCTGCCCCCGTCCCATCCCAAATCCTTATCCTGATCCCTTCCAAGTGCTATATAGTCATAATGGCTTGGCGCTTTCCCCTGATAGTTCATTTCAATTCCAAGCTTTGCAAGGAGGAAATGGTCTATGGTATTGGATGAACATAGGCTGGTCAGGGTCGCCAGAATTCAAGAGGGAACAGCGTACCAGGGCCACATTCTGACCCAACAATGATTTTTTTCACTCTGCTGGCTACACCGAGCTAAATATTTTGAAAACAAAAATGTCAACGCTAATTATTGTATAGTAATATACACCATTGTTCACTGATTTCGGGAAAATTAACATAAAGTTTCGACTATTCATACTTTGACAGTAGTACCATAAAACAGACGATCCTCCCACAGCTTCGATGCCTTTTTCAAACTACCCTTCTCTCAAAGCAAAAGGGCAACTAATGGATTTTTTTTAATATTCACACAGTTTGGCTCCTGCTACCAATACTGGTATTTATATTATTTTTATAAGAGATATAGGCAGTGAAAGACAGAATGAGACAGACAGACATAGACAAGTACAAATTGAGACAGAGAAAGAGATAGTGAGAGAAGGAAGGATAAGGGGAGGGAAGGGAATTATCAGGGAAAAGCTCCAAACCATTATGACTATATAGCACCTGGAAGGGGTCAGGAAAAGAATTTGGGATGGGACGGGGAGGAAGGAATGGTGCCCAACCGCTTGGACCGTCGGGGATTGAACGCAGCCCTGCGTGAAGCGAGACCGTCGCTCTACCGTCCAGCCCAAATGGTTGGGCAGCATTCCTCCCCCCCCCCCTTCCCATCCCAAATCCTTATCCTGACCCCCTTCCAAGTGCTATTAGAGAACAAAAGGAGGAGAAAGAGGAGACAGGTAGGGAAAGGAGGATAGAGGGGGAGAAGGGACAGAAAGGTGGAGATGGTGAGAGAGTGGGAAAGATGGAAGGACTAGAGGTAGAGAGGGAGATAAGAAAGGAGTGGAGGAGAAAGGGAAGGAAGGAGAGGCCAGGGAGAGAAAGAGAGAGAGAGAGAGAGAGAGATTGGAAGACTACAGGTGCGTTATCCCATGTGAGGAAGCACCTGTTTAAACACAGCCATTTTCACTCCTGTTGGGTTTGAACTTAAAACTTCCTAGAAAATTTGCTTCTATAATGCAACAAAACTTGGCGACTTACTCCACTCTGATGTAACTCTGAACGCACCCAGCTTGCCTATTAGTCCACTGTTTCTATCTTCAGTTGAGACGTTAAGAAATGTGTTCATATCCAAGATACTAAACCCTCTCAACATACTCCTCTAATGTTAGTATCACACAGTAATATAATGAGAGCTAGACTGCCTGCCCCACGCCGTCGTGGCCGGAGCTGTAGCTGTTCTTATGATAGTGATGAGTGAAACAAAACAGTTACCTCGAGGCTGATGAATACGCGATCATGACGATATAAACGGCACCCATGCTCACAGTCCAGAACACACACACACACACACACACACACACACACACACACACACACACACACACACACACACATGTATGTAATAGGGGTATGACAGGGAAATAGGATCATTGCTATAAACAACCGATGGCTAGAAAGGCGGGATCCAAGAGCTCGATTCTGCAGGCACAAATAGGTGAGTACACACACACACAACCACATGAACTGAGCCACACAGGACCATGCAAAAAAATAGAAGTACTTGTTGCTTGATGTATTTGACCCCCAGGGTTAGTGCAGGTGGGCGGTTCAGGATGGAGTTGGGGGGGCGGGGGTGAGGGGTGGGGGTCAGGGCGGGGGGTGAGGGGGGGGGGCGAGGGTTAGGGGGGAAATGTTTAACTGTAGGACAGTGTAGAAGGTGTGGAGGGGGGGGGGGAGGAAGGCTCCATGTTACCAGGCCGAGAGTCGTGACTGGTGATAGTGTGGGGTCACCACTATCACACTATGACAAACAAAAGTAAAAAGTCGGCCAAGTTGTATTGGTGATCTACATATGACGTCACATACGCGGCTGTGGCAATAATCACACTAATGAGGCTAACAAAGTCGTCAGCAAACACCGACAAATATACATTAATATGCCACCTAGTCTAGAACAAATTAAGAGCCAAGTAAGAGTTACGAGCGTGAACATGGCGGGACGCTGACACCTCGTGCCCTCAAGTTCCAAACACGTCGAGGTCAGCACCGGGGTGCAGAAAGGCAACCACATGTGAACCCTTCATACTTCCTCAATGCACCAGCGCACACGCTGCAGCAACACTCTACCCTCACGCTGCAGCAACACACGCAACACTCTACCCTCACGCTGCAGCAACACACGTAACACTCTACCCTCACGCTGCAGCAACACACGCAACACTCTACCCTCACGCTGCAGCAACACACGCAACACTCTACCCTCACGCTGCAGCAACACACGCAACACTCTACCCTCACGCTGCAGCAACACACGCAACACTCTACCCTCACGCTGCAGCAACACACGCAACACTCTACCCTCACGCTGCAGCAACACACTCCCCTCACGCTGCAGCAACACACGCAACACTCTCCCCCTCACGCTGCAGCAACACACGCAACACTCCCCCTCACGCTGCAGCAACACTCTACCCTCACCCTGCAGCAACACACGCAACACTCTCCCCCCTCACGCTTAAATAGCTTTTGTTTTTAGGTAACATTCATAGCTACCTGGTCATCA